GGGGGGGAGGGTTTGGGGTAGCGGCAGGGCGCATGTGCCGTGGAAAATTTTGTGCCCTGCCCCGCCGAGCAAAGCGCCGGGGCCGGCCCGGCCGCGGGGCGCGACGGGAGGCGTAGTCTGGGGGAGGAAGTAAGTAGGTCGTGGGGTGGAGAGGGGGCCGAGGACCACAACTCCCTTGGGGATGGAGGGCCTGTCCGGCAGAGTCACCCGTAATGGCCACTTTCCCTTGGGGAGGAGGTAGCCGGCTGCTTGCCTCGGGTTAGGAGGAGCCCCTCCACCACCCCTGGGTGGTATTGGGGTGGTGAGGGGGATTTAGGTTGGAAAGGGGGCCCTTGTTCGCTGTGGGATCCTACTATCTTTTAAAGTCCCTGGACACTCTCCTGGTGACGATGAGGTGCCCAGCAGCCACTTTCCGGGAGCAGACCCCTCTCAGGAGCCTGGAGGGGTGCTCACAAGGTCACTCCCCATGTGTGCGCAGCGAGGAGGAGCGGGCATTGCTCCTTCCTTCGCTCTCCTCTGATGCCAGTGGTTATTTAGGCTCTCTCCTTCAGCGCCTCAGCATGCAGATAAACTGGGGGTCTGAGGGGGCTCCTGTGTTCCTTCTGCAGGGCAGATGAGCAACCCTTTGTTCCCCACTGGCACTTTGGTGTCCTGCATGTGGTGATCTGGAGATCCTCTCTGGAAGAGCTTTTAGAATATCTTCTACGACTGGTAGTTGTTTCTTGTCTTGCAGTCATGCTGCTTCAGCTATTTTATTTATTTTACTTCTACATTATTGTATTTTGGTGCAGTAGAAAGAGATCGAGGGTGTCTTCCTGGAGCACATCTTTCCGTGTCAACAACCTGAGTAGTCAGAGGTATCTCTGACTTTCTGAGCCTTCTACAAGTATCAGCTATATGCACCTACCTTGGCAGCCAGTGGTATTATTAGGCTAATTAACTCCTCTTTGACATAGCCGAAGTACAGAGTATTCCCCTCTTAGGAAGGGGGAGTACTTCTTAAAGAATAGACAAAAAAAAAGGAGGCAATGATTTATAATTGTATCTTATTGCTGTCTTCTGCAGAAGTTTGGTGAGGATGTAGGCTCCTCAAAGTATATTGAGGCATTTATGTTGCAAATAGGGCGGTAACAAATTCTGGCCTTCACTCCTTTCCCAGTCTGTAGTTTCTGATTTCTTAATAGATTTTGGGTCTGGATTGGAATTTATCACACAAGATTAAAAGACTTACGGACTGGCTGTTCTCTTCCTGCTTAATTTGCTAGGTCTCAAACTCTCATCTCCCCCTGATGCCTCAAAGCCGAAGGAGTGAGTGGGCTCAGTGTAATTCCCCCTTGAGGTAGCACAGGCAATGTAAGCTTTTGTTAACGTTTAGGTGTGCTGCTTTAGGGGTTTGCTTGGTGCTGTTTTCTCTGGAAAAGGCTCTCGTCTCTGTGCTGAGACTCTTGCCTTCCGAAAATGGCTTCTGCTTGCTTGTCTCTGAAAAGCTCTGGTTGCTCAGTTTTTTGGTGTTCATCTCTTCGTATTTCAGCTTGGTCAGGTCTCGGTGACTACCAGAAGTTGTTACACCTCAGTAATGACTTAAAGCAACTTTTAGAGGCATCTTCATCCCCTCATTCCGATGTTGTTTTCTTGTTGCTGAGTCAAACCCAGAGGGGATCCCTTTTCCAGAACCAACCTCCTCGTTGGGACACTTGAGGTGTGGGATCTGTTTCTGTTTTACCGTCACCCTGGAGCTAAGCCCCTTTGAACTCAAACCAGTACAGGAAAAGCACAGAATCTGCACCCCCTTTTTTGTAGTAAAACCTCGAAATATTTGTTTTGGTTTTGGTTTTTTTTTTAAATATTTAATACTTCTTGTCCACTAAACTAGACCAAGCAAACAAACCTGGTCAGTTTTTCCTTCCTCCTGACCTAGGCCAGCGTGGGTACCTGGTGCTGCTGCTGCTGGGATTCCCGGTTTTTCGGGGGAATGCTGGCACCATATGTTTGTGCTCCATCCCCACCCCCAAATAATTGGCGCACGTCGTAAACATTGGCTCAAGCGCTGCGCCAGAGCATCCCCAAAGCCCATTTTAGGAAGATGGTTGAGCGCGGTGCGTCTGCTTGAGCAAGGTGAGGGCAGCTGAAGACAGAGCGGCCTCTGACTAAGCTACCAATTAAAAACTGGATGTTCTGCTTCCCCCTGGAGAGGCGTGGAGGCTTCTGGACGTGCGCTTCCTCTTAAAATATCCGTGGGATTCGTTTTCTTTGGATGGGTGGCAGTGCGTGGTGCTGACCTACCTGCATCCTGGTTAGTTATTTTTTGTGCCCAGACGAACGTTGTTTGCAAATCTGTGTATAATGGGAGAGTTGAGAGTTGTGGGTTTGCACTGTGCCTTTGTGGGTTGTCTCCGTTTCGGATACTTCCTCGCAAAGGAGGGAGGGAGGGAAGGAGGATTACTTCAGTCCTTGGGAAGCAATTTTGTTTTTTATTGAGTAGGTATCTGATGCTGGCAGAGCTCATCTCCTCTCCGCACAGGGATAAACGATGTGAACTCTATTGGCACATGTGCGTTTTGTGACCCCGCGCGTGTCTTCTGCTCCCCTCTTCCCCCTCTGCCAAATTAAACCGGGATTTTTAGGCTTGTAGCAAAGCAGAGCCCCAACTGGGTACACTTAAGATACAGCCCTGCCAGTCAAGGGGGTGGCAAACCCAGGCTGGCAGCTGGTGCCTCGGCGCCCTCCCTTGCTCCTCCTCGTCCCTTCTGTGCTTGTGCCAGCAGGACATGGCACCCGGCACAACCCCCCCATCCTGAGCACGAACGAGGGCTCTGCCCAAGCTGCCGAGCGAGTCACGAGGCTGTGGAGGGGCTGTGCTTGTGTTTTGGAGAGGCTGGGGCAGGTGAGCCGTGCTGGAAGCAGCCGAATCACCATGGTGGGGAGAGGCGCTGTTGGATGTGCCAAAATAGCTCTGCCTGAGCAGTCAGTTGGCCTGCTGGGGTTCAGCGGCGGTGAGTATAACGTACATGCCTGCATGCGGGTAGTGGCTACACCCTCATCTCTTCTGCAGGGAGGACTCCTCCCTGCCAGCATCTCCCTGTGTTGAGGGCCAGCACATTTGGGGTGATTCTTCTGGAAAGCATCCTCTCCAAACTGCTCATTCTGCTTTTGCTAACGAAGAAGCGTGGCTGTTCATCTTGACAGGTGGAGATTTGTCGTGTTCTCTCCTCTTCATCCATCCTTTTCTCTCT